ATTCCAGGAAGAGAAAACTGCAAAGAAAAGAGAGAGGGAATGAGAGAGAGAGAGAGAGAGAGAGAGAGAGAGAGAGAGAGAGAGAGAGCATAAAAGGGGGGAGCGTCAGAGGGAGAAGCAGACTCCCTGCTGAGCAGGGAGCCCAGATGCAGGACTCGATCCTGGGACTGAGCTGAAGGCAGTTGCTTAACCAATGACCACTCAGGCACCCCCAAAGATTATTTTCCAAGTTAAGGCTCTGACTAGTATGTCTGAGGAATATCAAGGGAGCCAGTGTGGCTGGAATTGAAAGAACAAGGGGAAAAAAAATAAGAGGGAGGTCAGAGAAGTAAGAAGGGCGAGATGGCAGTGGGCTTTTTGGGCTGTCCTATGGGCTCTGGATTTTACCTTGAGGGACAGGTGCAAAACTGACATAAATCGGAAGATAGGATCTGACTTCTTCAGGCTGCTATTTTGAGAAGGGGCTTCAGGGGACAAAAGAGCAGAAGCAGGAGAGGTCTCCTAGGTTTAGGTAACTAAGCTAAAAAATCAGAGCAGCATTTCCAAAGAGAATGTACTATAAGGACTAGACATAACTCTGATTGAGTCAACTAAACCATTTCTAGGATAAGCCCTTGGAGCAAAACTTCAGAAAACTTTCTGAAAGTATTTTTAAGATCGTTTATCCCATAAAATGTACTAACCCTTAAGTGTTGAGGTTTGACAGTTATAAAATTACTGAGTTTTTTTTTTTTTTTTCATATTCACCCTGAGACAGCAATGATTTGCATCAGAGAAACCCTTTGAATTTAATATTTTCTCCCTGGATAGTTTTGCATAATTTTTATGTGGCTTCCTTGATGAACCCACTAAAACTATTTTCCACACATAGTTTTGCATAATCTGCATAATAAGGAAATCCTGAGGAAGAACTAGGAACTGGGCAATTCAGCAAGATCACAGAAACCATGTGTTGGGAGCTGCTTGTCAGCAAATGCTGCTAGAGATTCTGTAAAGATCAGGACAAATCTTGCCGATAAGGGCAAAATAACTGTCTTTGGCAAGATTTTGTACAGGCTGCATATTTCTTTGTGGGGTCATTGCTACTTCTAAAGAATCCATCTAGAATTATTATTTTGGAACACAACTTTCTATGTGCCTCCATACTTCCTGTCTCCCTGTGCAGAGTTCCCCAAAATATTCCTCTTCCTATTTTTTGCCCTGTTGAGGGGGCAGTACAGATTATAGGGTACTTTATGGCATTGGATGATGGGAAGCTAGCAAGATATTCTACTTACCTTTGCTGCACAACAAATTACCCTAAAACTTAGTAGCTTAAAACAACCACTTTCTTTTTTGCTCATAATTTTGTGGGTCAGGAATTCTGGAAGAGATTGAGATGGTGGTTCTCATAGAACTTCTGTCATCTGAGGGCTCAGTTAGACTGTATATCCGAGGTGGCTCACTCAAATGGCTGTCAGCTGATGCTGTCAGCTGGGCTATCAACGCAAGCACCTGTAAGTGGCCTCTTCATGTTGTCTGCACTTCCTCACAATATGGCCGCCTCAGCGCCGTCAGATTCTTACAAGGTGGTTCAAGGCTCCAACTAGGAGTGGTCCAGCATGTAACATGGAAGCTGCACCATTTTTTCTTTTAATCTTTGGATGCCATGCAGTATAATTTCGATCACATTCTACTGATTATAAGTTAGTTATAAGTGCACTCGGATTCAAGAAGAGGGGACACATACCCTACTGTCTGATGAGAGGAATGTCAGTGTCCGATTGTAGAGGAACACATGGCATAGGAGATGTCATTAGGGCCGTATTTGGAAAAAGAAATCTCCTACACCTGGTTAGTTAGTAAAAACAGACTGTGTGACGTCACTGTAAAGTGTACAGGTCTCACCAGCCTGTGGAGACAAAGAAAGGAAGCAGAAACTGCAGAATGTTTACATTCTCGCATTCACAAGAGCAAAAGGATCCAAGAAAACAGTGGGGGTTTCATCAAGTCAGGGTAAACTTTCAACAACGTCTTTATTCTGCATTCTACACTCCGGGTTCCCTTGCTGTGATGCTCTCATGGTAATTCATTCATCACATTTCACAAACCTTTACTGAATGCCCAATACATGTGCCAGGGACTATTCTAGGCTCTTGGTGCCTACCAGTAAATAAATGTAACAAAAAGCCCTACCCTCATGGAGAATGTATTCTAGTGGAGTCATGATATTAAAATAAGCAACACTGCTTGTGAATTAAGTAAATGGCAATGGGAGGTAAGGCCTCATGTGGTCTAAAGAGCCAGCTCCACCGTGAAGGATGCTCTGGACTGAAGTTTTGCCAGGTGATTGTGCAACAGACCAAATGGTAGGGTCTTCAGGAAAGACATTTATAGGGAAAAGGGTTAATTTGTCCTATGAGTTTAAGAGGGCTTCTGGATACCGCTAACTTCTTGCTTCTCCCAAATCATGCTGTTTCACATCCATCTGGTGACCTCTGGTCTACTTGTTGGCATCACTGTCCAAAACCCCTAGGAGCCCCAATAATTCACCCCACCCTGTATACACACCCCTTTGTCATATACTTTGCAGTTCCATAAAGACACCCTGCATTTTTCGTGTGATTTACCAATACATTAAGGCAGGTAAAAATGTGTCAGCTTTAAGACCAGACCTAAAGAAGTCTTGCACGTTTTCACCTGGGCTCTTACCCCTCTGCCACTGTCATGCGGGCATGCTAGGGTTGGCTGGAGTGATGAGAGACATGTGAACTAGAGCCCAGTTGCACCAATCTCCCCAAGCAACAGCCAGCCCACCCCCAGATACATGAATGAGCCCAGCCAAGATCCCAGATGCATGAGCAATAAACTTATTGTTACAGGCTACAAAATTTTGTGGTTGCTTGCTATGCAGCATTTTGGGGCAACAGAGGGGGTGACATAACTGGGAAAGGGCAGAGCACCTTCTCTTGGAGACCTGCTTACTGGTCTTTTTTGTCGTTGTTGTTGAAGTCTGTGAGCACAAGGCCCTGTCATTACTGCTGGTGCTACCCTCGTGCTGGGATTTGTGAAAGGATAATCGAAGTCAAAATTAACAGAGTTGCCTCTAGATTCATGACAAGGGGGAGGTGTGGAGCAATGAAGTGGAATAAGGCTTCATTCCTGCCTGTGAAAGTTTGCATTTTAGGTCTCCTTGTTGGAAGGGACAAAAGTCACTCCTAATGTTTACCACGATTGAGGCATGAGGAAAAAGGCCCAAGAAGAAGGGAACCATTCCAGTTGCTTCTTTGATACCCTTAAACCCATCAAGCTCCCTGCCTAAAAGTGGACTTAGCTCTTTTATTATTATAATTCAAAATAAACCTGTTTTGGCAGCATTATAGGAGGATGGAGGCCACAGCATCCACTATGTGGATGTGTCAGTCCTGGCAGTAATCCTGGCAAACAGAGCTCGTTTTCCAGAATGCATCGAGCGAGGACAGAGGGGCAGGCTCTTTAATCTCTGCTTCCAAATCATTGTGACAATTACCACTTTTGAGGAAAAAACTGCCTCCAAACAAAACTGGCCCTTCAAGTAAGTGGAGCATTTGTTCTCCCCACCAAGTATCAGAAACTTTTCCAAGAGCCACTTATTTTTTTGTGTCTCGCACAGTCCCTATCAAAATGCAAATACCCCTGGGAGAGGTGACCTCTTTGGCCTTCACTTGTCAACACTTTGGGAATGGAAGAATTATTTTACTAAAACAGCTGAACAAAAGAAAGGCAACTTGTTTGTGTAATTGTTCATTTTGTCTTCCCCAGTGGACTGCACGCTCCAAGAGGTCTAGGACCGTGTCTACTTTGTTTATCCATCTATTTCCAGAGTCCAGGACATATAGGATTGCCTGCAAAAGGAAAGCGGAAGGGAACAGGAGGGGTAAGGGAGGAAAGAGGTTAACTAAGGACCCGCAGAAAAGGGTAAAAACGCCGAAAATTCTCAACGCAGCATTTGCCCTTATATTAACTAGTTAATGACGTCAACATATTTACTAGGCTCTTACTATGCATGCATGGGAGGGAGGGGTCTCTAGAGTAGGAGAAAGACAGAACCCCCCACCCTCTTACCTTAACCCGGTGTGGTTCTTTGAATTTTTACTGCTGTGTACTCCAAGAAAGGCAACACGACAACCAAGGCCAAGAAAATTTCCCTACGGGGCCTTCCACCGATTCCATGCTTGACACGTGATGTACTCAAAGCCCTCAGCCTTTGGGATTGAAACATTCAGAATGAGAATTCCAAAGTGACCAAGATGACAAAACAAGTTTCAGGAGGGCGCTCCGTTTTTTCCTAGTTTCCCACCTCCCACCCCCAGCTCAATGGCTTCTCAACCTTTAATGCGCACGTGAATCACCTGGGGATCTTGTTAAATATGCTGATTTTGATTCGATAGGTTTGGGGCGAAGTCTGAGCTGCTGCGTTTTTAACACGCTCCCAGGTGATGCTGATCGGCTGCCTCGAGGACCACACTTTGAGTGTACTAGGGACTCGAGGTCTTCACCTCCAGCGCCAGGTGTGTGTGTGCCCATGCTCAGCTTTCCGGATCGGTGTCCCGCACGTCCCCGGCCTTCCGCCGGGAAGGGAGGAGCCGGGGGCGGAGCGGGAGGAGTGGCGCGGGCCCCGAGTGGGTCCTGCCGGAGATCACCTCGGCCCCTTGGAGAGGCGGCCGAGCTGCGGCGGCGCAGGAGGGGGCGGGTTCGGCGAGGGCGCGGCCTCTCGGAGGGGGGAGTACGACGCACATCCCCCGCGCCCGCCCGGGCCACTCGGGAGCTTCGCGGCAGCCCGGTGCCCCACTTGGCAATCCGCTCCGTGCTTCTTCCTCGCGCCCGCCTCCTCTAGTCACCTCCCGTCTCAGCCTCCCTGCTCCATCCCCGCCGCATCAACGGCCAGCCGAGCGCCTCCGTGAGCGAGAGGTGGTGCGCGGGGCTGCAGGGCGCGCCCTCCAGCGGACCCCGGCCCGGCATTGGGGGGCACGGGCAGCAGCATGGACACCAAGCGCTGCTTCGCCAACCGCTTCGATGACTACCAGGGCAGTCTGCTGGCGGGCCAGTGCGAGGAGGCGGTGGCGCCCTTGGTCACCGCCACCATCGAGCGCATCCTTCAGGAGCTGCCCCCGCTCGGGGGCGGTGCTGAGGCCCGGGGGGCGGCGGCCGCGGCCAGCAGCTGCCAAGGCGGGCTGTACGGCGGCGTGGCCGGGGTGGCCTACATGCTCTACCACGTCTCGCAGAGCCCGCTCTTTGCCGGGGCCCGGGAGCGCTACCTGCGCTCGGCCAAGCGCCTCATTGACGCGTGCGCCCGCGCCGAGGAGTGGGGCGAGCCGGACGCCGACACCCGCGCTGCCTTCTTGCTCGGGGGAGCGGGCGTGTACGCCGTGGCCACGCTCGTGTACCACGCCCTGGGCCGGTCCGACTACGTGCAGCCGCTCGGCAAGTTCCGGGCTCTGTGCGCCGTCTGCGCGCCGGTCTCCTTCCTGGAGTGCGGCTCGGACGAGCTGTTCGTGGGCCGCGCGGGCTACCTGTGCGCCGCGCTGGTGCTCAAGCAGAAACTCGCCCAGGAGGTAAGAGGCAGCCCCGGCCGCGGGGGGGCGCTCGCCGCCTGCCCGGCCCTTCCCCGGACTCCCGGCTGCGGGAGCAGCGCCCCCGGCTCTTCTCTTTCTCTTTGTTACTCTGTCTGGCGCTGTCGTTTCCTCAGTCTCCAGAGGTTCACCTCCTGTTTTTGTCCGTCTTCCCTCCTCTCTTTTTCAGTCTCTCATTTGTTGGGATTCCCCGTCTTTGCGCTTTGTTTTACACCGAACGTGGCATCTCCCCAGATGCGCCTCTGCCCAACAGCTTCCTGGAGGCCCTTTCAAGTGAGGGAGAAAAAAAAAAACCTTGAAAATGAAAGGGATTTCCCTTCCTTTGACCCTCCTGTCAAAAAGCTGAAGCACCCTCGAATGTTAAGAGTATTGGAAGTTTGGGGGGCTGGTTAGGCTATCATTGTTCGAATCGCTAACGTGGAGGTAAATGGCTTTGGCGACCGCCCCCCCCTCCCATCCCGCGCGCGCGCGCGCGCGCCTCGGTCTGTAACCCAGAATTACTGCCCAGCTGCGGGTCTGATGTGCTGACTGTGGTTGCTTACTCTTAAGTTCATTTCAGGGCTCTTTTAAAATGCCTATCTGATGGGGGTGTCCTCTTTTAAATGCATAAATGTAGACAGAAGTTTACCCCATTGGAATCGAATGTGCAGTTTTCATTCTAAAACGCGTAGATAGGATTGTCTAGACGACAGCGTGCTTAATAGGGCAGGTTTTCTTAATGAATAGCTTTCCAGTGGCTCCTTGAAGTGAATTGGATTTCACAACTACATATGGGTTTGGTTGTTTCTTTTTTTTTTCCTGGATTCACTTTGAATACAGCATGTGGCTATTAGAAGAGAATGTGCCAGTTCCTGTGGAGTAGGGGGGAAAAAAATCCTCCAAAGGATCATAGTAACTAGAACTGAAAGCGAGGCATTTTCATTCATAACCCAGTGGAGCCAAATATTGTTCTAGGGAGGAAGTGACACATTGAACATGACTTTATTTGGGTGAAAGAGGCGTTTGAAGAAAAATTAAAGGTACACAGTATTTTTAAAGTGTAATTAACTTAGATAACTTCTAAGATAACAGAGGCAGACTTGATTTTTTTTATTTATAGCAGGTGAGGTTGATCCAAGTGAGAAAAACATCACTGAAGACTGTGCACTGTGTTAGAACGGCAGCAAAGATCTGTGTGACAAAGTTGTCTTGAAATAGTTCACTCTGCTTCTGAGTCACTTATCTGCTAGCAGTTCCCCAAGAGCCCTTCCAGTTGTATAAAACCCTTCAGAAGGCCACAGGGCTATTTACATATCATTTGCATTACATTTGCATCTGCTCCTCAGACCTTGCTGTCTGGCGGTAGGCAATTTTCAAATTCGGGGTTTTTTTCCCCCCTGCTTTCCCTTTTTGTGCCTTGGGGCCTTCTCTCCAGAATAGAGTGGCAAAGAGTGGGAGACCCATCAGGTCATACAAGTGGAAACAGACCTCAAGGACTCGTTGCCCCAAAACTGGTGGCCCAGGGCCAGCGGGCAACGCTGATCCAAAAAGACATTTATTAAGACGTCTCTGCTGCCCTCCTGCCAAACCAAATCTGTCTTTTAATACTAATCAATTTGAGGTGCTTTGGCCCCTACTCCCAGGAGACAGAACAAGTTCTGAGGGTTAAACCACTGCCCCCCCCCCCAAAAAAAGCAGCTCTTAACCTGAGCAAATAAGCTAGTCTCAGTGCCAGCCTCAGCTGCAGTAATCTGAGAAATTCAGGCTTGAAAAGTGCAGGGCAGGGGCTAAGCACGCCTGGCTGGAAGCCCTTATGCGGGGAAAATAAGTCTTCTGCGCCATCCCCACTCCCGCATCCTAGCCAGCATAGGGCTTTGCCCTCAGTAGATGATCCATAAATGTTGATTAAATTGAGTTGCCAACTTCTGTCATTTCTCTATAAGTAATCTGTTATTGTGTCCTGGGTTTCTTTCCTTCCACTGTCATTTATATTTACTTTCCTCTGGCAATTCCCTCAGTTATCACCCTAGTCTAGACCCTCCCCGCACTACTTGGCTCAGCTTTCGCACCTAATAAATCAATGAATGAATGAATCCCCATTTACTGGGATTAGTGCAATATACTCAGCTGGATTCTCTCAAGCCATTACACTGATCTCTTAGAAACCAATCTTAAAAGCACTTCATTATGCCATTTCCCCACTCAGCATCCTGCAGTGGCTCCCTATTACCTTTCCTCCAGTGACTTCTCATCTTTCTCAGAGCTTTAAAATGGCCGAGAAGGCCCCACATGATTTGGCCCGCCTGCATACCTATTACACTTTTGCTCACTCTGCTTCAACCACACTGGCCTTCTTGCTGTTTTAAGCATTTATTTTCTCGGGGTATTTGTACTCGCTGTTCCCTTTGCTTGGAGTACTCTTCCCCTAGCTATTTTTATATATATCTTTGACCTTGTATAGGTCGCTACCTCATCAGTGAAGCCTTCCCTGTTCACCCTCTATGAAACTGCAACCTTGTCCCCCGACTTGATGCCCTTTACTTGTTCCATTTTGCTTGTTTATGTCTTTTCCAATTAGAAGGTAAGCTCTACACATGTAGAGTTTTTATTTTATTGCTATATTCCCATCGTTAAGATGGTACCTGGGACATATTCAGGTTCTCACCTTTTCTTTTGGGATTATTGCAAATATTGTTTATGGCTTGCTTTGCCACTCATTTTGAATGGTGACCCATTTATCAATATTTCCTTTATGGTTGTGCTTTTGGTGTCATACTGGTAGGAATATGTCCTATTGGTAGGAACTCTTTCCTGCCACCAAAGTCTCAGTAAATATGTGTTGCCTGAATAAATGAATACCACTTTCTTGGAAATTTTGCCTCAGATCAAGCTTAACCTTTAGACTGGTGCTTGTTAAACTTGAACTTTCACGGGAATCACCTGCAGATCTTGTCAATAGAATATGGACTGATTCAGCAGGCCTGGCATTGGGCCTAAGATTCTGCATTTCTCACAATTTCCCAGGTGATGCTGCTGGTCCAGGGATCACACTTTGAAGAGCAAGGCAATGCCGTGCTGCATAGGTTTTGGCATACCAGTCATGTCTATTAAGCTATGTATGCTATAAGACACCATTCTCTGAAGCTTGATATATTTTTTTTTATAAGGTTGTAGTTGAGAATACTGATTATCCTATCATGCTTTCATTATAAGGACCCACAAGGGGAATGTCTCTCAGTACTTAGAGTACAGAAATAGTTGTGCTCTTCCTGGAAATTGATTTTTTTTTTAAATCTTCAGAATATGTCACATAACTGACATGTTTCTCGCTTGAGGCTGGCTACTAGGAAGCCTATGGCCAGAATTGCCCACATAAGCTGGTGTAAAGTGCCTTATATACTTCATACTAGCGTTTAATTTGGGGTTTAAATTTTTTTCTTCCTTAGTCTACCCTTTTTTGACTTGTCTTCCTTCCACCTGATTTTATTGTTTGCATTGATAAGAATCAGAGATGAGAAAACACATGTGTCAATGTACGTAGAGAGACAGCAACAGGAAGAGTCACTCTAACCAGGTAATATAGTTTTGTTCAATTTGGCTCTCCTGAAAATACTCAAGGGAAGTAGTTTTGATGGATTGTTAAGCAGATATCCTTGAGCAATGGGGCACTGAAGTCCTATGAAATCATACCATAGAAACTTACATTGGGTCCATTCTGCTTTCCAGATGGGTGAAAATGTAGCAGGGAAAGGAATTTAGAAAGAAATGGTGGAGGGATAAAGGGGAGGCCTAGGGACCACGGTTAAAATAATAACTTTGCTGCTGGATGACCTTGGACAAATAATTTAACATGTCGGAGCCTCAGTTTCCTCACTTGTGAAATGGATGAATGATAGCTTCCTTTTCACTTAATTCTGTCGTTAATTCCTTCATTCCATGAATGTCAGGTTTTTACACGTGCCAGGCCCCTTGCTAGATGCCAGGACTTAGTAGTGAACAAAAGTCAATATAATTATGTTGTGGCAAGTGCTCTGAAGGAAGTAAACAGGAAATACCTGGGGACGGGGCAGGATAGGAGAGGTGAGGGGTGCTGCTTGGCAGACAGTAGCGAGGAAGACGTCTCTGTGGAGGTGATGTCCTGGTTCATCACTGAAGCCTGAGCACAAAGCTGCTGCTTTAAGAGCAGGCATTCCAGGCAGAGGAGACAGCAAGTTTGAAGCCCCCTGAGGTGGGAATCTGCTTGGAGATTTCAAAGAAATGGAAGGCTGCCTGCATAATGGGTGCAGAGTGAGCTAGGGCTAGAGGGATGGGAGAGCCCCCAGCCGGGTAGGAGCCTTGAGCCAGCTCAAACCAGATCCTGCAGAGCCAGGTCAGTCAGGAGTTGGGGCTTGTTTCAGGTTTAAATGGTTATGTCTTCATCTTACCTTTAAAAAAGATCACCGGGTTTTCTGCATGGACAGCAGATTGAACAGTCACAAGGGGCACTAGTTTCAGGGGGCCTAAACCCCTTTTGTGCCAAGGACTCCTTTGTAAATCTGGTGACCTCATCGATACCTCTTAGAATATCATTTTTAGGGGCATAAAATCACTTAGGATTACAAAGGAAGCCAGTTACCAAAACGTTTAAAAAATTGTGATGAGTAGAATTTGTGTTTATTAACACGTTAAATAAGATTTTGCAGCAAGCCTAAGGATTATGGTACCTTTGAAAGAGTGATGAGGGTCAATGATATTTCGAGCTGTCTTCAACAACTGCAGTGTGATAGGAATATAGCTGTGATTTTTATAGGTGGCAAAGTCACAAGTACTTGGGTGGTTTGTGGTCTGCATTTGTAATGAAAGGAAATGCTAACTTGTTTAAATGAGATTTGAGGAAATACAGATGTGATTTTATTTCCCCAGCCAAAGGGGGCTGGTCTGGAAGTTGCTGTGGTGACTCACTTTAGATAAAGTGCCTAGTATTAGTGCTTGGCACACAGTAGCCGCTTAATGGAATCAATGCT